AAGGCCTTCTATGAGCACACAGGGCACCTCAGGGAACCCAAGGCAGAAAAGCAGGAGAGCTACAGAGAGGCAGCTTGGGGGTAAGCTGCTCCAGGAGGCTCCTTACTCTGGTCCATCTCTGCCTCTCCATCCACCTCCATTCCGCTTCATCCCACTGTCCCCTCTTTCTCTGCTGCTTAGTCCAGGAACAGCTTCCACTTCCCTACTAGATTAGAGTCTCATTCCCAAAGCCAAAGTCCCAAAAGAAGAGATTGATTCTGGGATTATTTATATAAAGTACCCTATAGGAGTTAAACTGTGCCCTTCCCAAAAGCACACATTACCGCTGGGCTGGTGGTGGTGCACGCCTTTAATCCCAGCACTTAAGAGGCAGAGGCAGGTGGATCTCTGTGAATTCGAGGCCAGCCTGGTCTACAGAGCAGGTTCCAGGACACGCTTCAAAGATACAGAGAGAAATCCTGTATCCAAAAGCCAAAGAAACAAACAAACAAAAGACACACTACCTCTCCCAACTCAGAATGTGACCTTTCTTGGAGAGGGTCATTGCAGATGTAATGAGGACATGATACAGTAGAGTGGAACCTTAGTTCAAGGACTAGTATCCCTGTAGGGAGGGGGAAACTGGAACACAGACAGCTGCAGACGAGGATGGTCGTGTAAGGATTCGAAGCGGTTGCAATGATGCTCCCTTGAGCCAAGGAATGCCCAGGGCTTCCAGAAACTGGAGAGGCAAAGAAGGCTCTTACCTTGAAGCTTCAGATGAATGTGACCCAGGCAAACCTGACTTTCAGACTTCTGGCCTCCAAGGTGAAGCAACAGTTTCTGTGCTTAAAGCAATGTGAGTTTTGATGGTGGCAGATTTTGTGGTGGCAGGTTTAGAAAACCGATGCAGTGTCCAGTGTGATCCAGTCCTTTGTGCCTAGGGGACAAGGTCTTTTCTTTTTTCTTTTCAAGACAGGGTTGAGCTTTGGAGCCTTTCCTGGAACTTGCTCTGTAGAACTCAGAGATCCTCCTGCCTCTGCCTCCCAAGCATTGGGATTAAAGGTGTGCACAACCTGGCCAGGACTAGATCTTAGCATACAAACGTGACACTTCAAGACTCACCCCCATGGAAGGATGGATCACAGGATGTGGGGCCGATACCCTGAAATGCTATCCTTCTACTTCCATAGACTTGGGACAAATACAGCCTCTCCTACTCTCCTCTTTCTTCTTTTCTGGTTTCCTTTTAAAGTATTTAGTTCTTTCACCTTCTGGAATGTACTATAGTGTGTGGTATAAGATACAAATCGGGGGCTGGAGATGGTTCAGTGGTTAAGAGCACTGACTGCCCTTCTAAAGGACCCGGGTTCTTCAATTCCCAGCACCTATGTGGCAGCTCAAAACTGTTTATAATTCCAGTTCCAGGGGACCCAACACCCATGGCAAAACACCAATTCACATAAAATAAATAAATATTATATATATTTTTATGGCTTTTTCGAGATAAGATTTCTCTGTGTATCTTGGAACTCATTCTGTAGACCAGGTTGACCTTGAATTCACAGAGATCTGCCTGCCTCTGCCTCCCAAGTGCTGGGATTAAAGGCGTGCCCAGATAATAATTTTCTTTTTAAAAAAAGGATACAGACCGGTTGTCTTCCATATTGCAATCCATTTGTCTGATTTATTAGTGTTCCTCTTATTGCCATGTTGCATTTCATTTATTAAATCAAGCACTGATGTTTGAACATTATTTTTGGAATCTCTAGGCTCGATTCCTCTGATTGGCTCATCGGGTTCCTGTCAAGGAGTGAGATGACTCTGTATGTTTGCAGGATTTGAGGGGTGGGTAGGGTGGGGGTTTGATCCTAGGATTTCATGACTGCTGGCCAAGGGTTCTAACCCAAGCTACATCCTCCAGCAACTCTGCAAGCTGAGTTTTGAGCTTCCCGTCTTTAGTGATCTGAAATATCCACTTCTTATGAACATACCCTGGAGAGAATGGCGTGTTTATAAAATGTCTCTGAGGTTTTGTAAAAACACACTCGAACTCCTCTGGTGGGAGTAGCTGTGCTGCATCCCCCCCCCCCCATTTGTGAGGGTCTCGTTATGTTGCTCAGGCTAGTCTAGAAGTCCTGACGTCAAGTGCTCCTCTGTCAGCTTCTTGACTAGCTAAGACTCCAGGCTTACCACTGTGCCCAGCCTGTTTCTCTTTTTGAAATGGATCCTGGTCCTATTAACACATCTGGCCTTATGATGAAGCCTGCATATGTACTATGACCTTCATTGTATGTACACACAGTAAGCACTCAGTCCGTGTTGGGTGATAGAGATGACCAGAGAATTCCTACCTCATTCTTGACTGTAGCCAACTCTGTTCATCCACTGCCTTCCTCTAGTTGTGCATAGGACTAGAAAAGGGGACGGGCGGCAGTGGTGCATGCCTTTAATCCCAGCACTCGGGAGGCAGAGGCAGGAGGATCTCTGTGAGTTCGAGGCCAATCTGGTCTACAAGAGCTAGTTCCAGGACAGGTTCCGAAGCTACAGAGAAAGCCTGTCTCAAACAGCAACAACAATAATAAATAAAAGACTAGAAGAGGGATTTGTGACAGGCTAACCAATGGCCACCCTCAGCATGTTTATGTCTGAAGCCCTACAGTCTTTATCTCACGGTGAAAGGAATTTTGGAGATGTGGTTAAGCTAAGGATTTTTAACCTCTTTACATTAGTTACTTTACTGTGTGTGGCACACATACACTCAGGGGCCTTTCTGGCTTATGCGTGGCAGTCAGGGGCTGTCTTCCTTCTACTGTTTTGTTCTTGGCATCCAACTCAGGCTTGGCAGCAAGTGCCTTTATCCCGAGCCGTCTAACTGGCCCCAAGTTAAGGGTTTAAAAATGGGACGGTCAACCTGGAGAATCATAAGGTCCTATAAGAAGGGTGGTGGGAGAGGTAGAGAAAAGGAAAGGCAATGACACAAGCTGGAATGATTCATTCTGAAGGAGGAAGGGGACCTGCCAAGGACCTATGTAGCCTCTGGAAGCTGTGGAAAAACAAAAAACAAAAAAACAAAAAAAAATCACAGATCCTTCCCTGGAGCCCCCAATATGTAGAGTCCTGATCACATTTTCATTCTTGCTCGGCCAGACTCACTTGGGACTGTTTTCTAGAGTCGTATGATAACAGATTTGTGTTCTGAAACACTAAGTTTGTGATAATCTGTTGAAAAGGAAAAAGATAGGAGGCAAAAGCAGGTAGATTGTTGTGAATTTGAGGTCAGCCTTGTCTACACGATGTTGAGCCAGTGAAACCTTGTCTTAGAAATGAGAGGGAGGGAGGTGGAGGCAGATAAAAGAAGCCCTGCTTAGCTGTAGGTGTGAACCTAGTGGCACTTTTCTGGCTAGACCACCCAGCCAGGTATCCACGAACTGCTGGTCTTGCGGGTTCCTTAGGACCTCGTAGCTCGATTTCAGCAGTCAGTGACAATCCCTACTGGATATCCACTCACCTTTTTTTTTTTTAATCTTAATTTTTATTTGATCAGCTGTTCCAATATATTAATGTTAAGCCCTCCTGATTGACTGAAGTTATTGAAGTTACTACCAGTATGTAGAAATTTAACTGAAAAATAAAAAAGAAGAAAGAAAAAAACAAGCAAGCAAGCTGTCCTTAGCCGGGCAGTGGTGGCACACGTCTTTAGTCCCAGCACTCTGGAGGCAGAGGCAGGTGGATCTCTTTGAATCTGAGGCCAGCCTGGTCCAGAGCTATTACACAGAGGAACCCTCTCTGGAAAAACCAAACAAGGAAAACAAACAACCCCTCACCACAAAGAAGTTGATTAATCCAGGAGACATTTTCTCTCCTAGCAAAGAGGCGGGGGTGGGGGGTGGGGGGGTGGAAAGCACAAACTTGAATTTAGCCAGAATCGTTGAGCTGTGTTTCTGAACATTTTTTTATTCACTGGGTTTAAAATCTGGGGCTCTGGCAGAAATTGGAGAAACTGGTCTGTAGTCCAAGCGAACCTCACCGCCGGTGAGCTAACTCAAAGCCGCAGTTCTGGCAAATACACACCTAACTCAAGATTCATTCTGTGGGTCCGTATCATTGGAAGAAAAAAGGGATAAAATGCATGTTTTGGGCACTCCTGGAGAATGGCATCTTACCACGAAAGAGCTTTTTTCACTCCTCTCTTTCGAATAAAAAGGCTCTTGCTCGTGATTTTATATGCATGATGATTTTATTTCTTCTTCCCGTTGTTTCAAGCTGGGCGCTAAACATTGGCCTAGGCCCCAGGCGCCTGCTGGAAAGCCCTCACAGGCGCAGAAGGTTGGCAAAGGAAACCCTAGGGGCGGGAGGCACCCCCAACGCTTTTGTTTCCTAGAACCTGAGGGATTTTCTTGAAGTCCCCTGGGCCAGGCCAAAGACTCCCCCAATCCAAGACCCCGGCTGTAGGGGTCGATGCTCTCCTAGGTCCCCAGATCACGGGTGTGGGGACCACCCATGTAGCAGAGCCTCCCCGCCCCGCCCGGAGCCGAGCCCCGCCCTCGCAAGCTGCTCCAGCCTGAGGAAGCCCCACACACTGCGGAGGGCTTGCTGAGTCCTCCCTAACAGAGGCTGGCCGCCAGGACCCAGCTCCTCCAGATAAAGACGGAGGATGGACTGAGCCTTTCCCTTACTCTCCTTCCACTATCATGTCGAGTGATCTTTCCTAACTCCACACGCCATCCTAAATAAATTTCAACCCGCTGTTATTTAAGAAAAAGCAAACAAACCAAAACAAAAACAAAGATAATGATTTGGGATAAAGTGACACCATTTCTTCAGATCAGCCCCTGAAATCATTCTACTCAATTTAGACGGGAGAGTGCGACCCTGATGTAGATAGATGGGGTGTGTGGAGGAACAGGGAGGCATTGTGTGACTTAGGGGTCTCAAGTCTCCTCCAGGAGGCAGGGCCCATGGTCTGGTCCCTTCTCTTCTAGTTGCCCGAATGGAAAATTGATGTAGGACAGCTTAGCCCAGGTCAACAAACTTTTATTGCCATTTCTGCCAGATTCCTGATTCTTCCACTGTAGAAACACCGAGTTCTGGTGCTGGGAGATGAGGGTGGAGGGTGTTGCCACGCTTCTGCCAAGTTAAAGAAAACCCCACTTGCTGGAGAGGGAGGGCCAGACAGAGAGGAATTCAAGGGCATGTATGGCTTAGGCCGGCTTCTGCCGACTGCAGAATATAGGGACCATGGTTCCAAACTCTTTTGCGAAGGGGGTGGGGATGAATTTGGCTGCTGTTGTACCCCTTGCCCTTGCTGCCATGTTTCCATGGAAATGAAGGAGGGGCAGGATGTAGCTCACTCTGAGTACCTGGGAGGGTGGCAGGGCAAGCATTTGGTAAACATATCCCCTTCCACTACCCCCATATACCCAGCTGTCCCCATGCAACCCCCAGGCTCACTCCCCTCTGCCGGCTCCACTCCCTTCCCCTCCGGAGCTGGGGTTATGCCAACTGGACTCCAGGCAGGGCTGCTAGTGTCTGGTCTCCACAGCCAGGTCGCCCTGGCAGCAAACTCTAAGTATGTCCACCTAGTCCAGAGCAGCCCTGACAGGGCTGTCTGTTGTGCCTCGGGAAGCTACGCAGTTAGTACCCCTACAGCTGTTGGTACCACCGCTACTTCCCACACACAGCTGACCAGACAAAACTTCAAAACACAAACCCAAATGTTCAAGGTTAGAAACAGGACAAAATAGTTCTCTACCAATGCTGAGGCTAGGATGGGGGTGTGAGGCACGTCCTTCTGAGACCTGAGCCATCTTGTGCCCTGTCTTCTGGAGTTTGCTTCTTTCCACTGGGCCCTCGTTGCTGGGGGGCTGAAATCCAAATCTCCATAGGGTACCGTTCTCAGTACCCTCTGCTGTTGGTCCATGAGGCTTGCCCATCACCATGGTCAGGCGGCACGGGAAGGCTTCTCAGTACCACGGGTCAGCCCGGTGCTGTTGGTTGTAGAGCTGCAGTTTGATCTGATCTTTTATTTGATTCACGAGGACCTGGGACAGCAGGATTCCCACCAGCTGCAAGGGGCAGAATGGATGTAGCCCTTAGCAGAGAGGGACTGTCTGGCTTTCCCTGGCTTAGTCTTCCCAGGGCAGCAAGCACCCCTACCCTCACCCCATGTCAGTACCCAATTGATCCCTGGATTCCTCCACAAATGACAGCCTTCGCAGAGTTTGTAAAACCTTGAAGTTGGACAGGATAAGTTACCTGAGGGATGGCCAGGCCTAGTGCCACGCCGCCAAGTAGGAACAGGTTGCTGTGTATCCAGTTGACCAACTTGTCAATACAGCCGTTAGTGTAGATGACTTTACTGGCTTCCAAGTAGTCAAGAGCCTGCATACCTTGGCCACACATAGTGTTGATCACTGCCTGAGGGAAAAGTTGAGAAGCCGAATGGTACTCCCACACCAGCAAACACTGGCTGATAAACGTGCCAACTTTCCCAACTCCCTAAGTTGTCAGAGAAGGTCTGCAGAGAATACTGGAGTAAAAGTAGCTTACTGCAGAACTCCTTTCCAAACTCCCTGGGTCCGATGCTCGGTTTCAGACCTGCCTCTTCTGAAGCCCATGTGGGCTGTTGGAGTGGGGGTGAACATAAGCATCTGCCAGCCACCCTGCACACCAACTGGTTAAACTAGGGGGATGGAGTGTCACCATAACAGCCTTGCTGATCAGGAAGTAACTTGGAGTGTTCCCAGGAGGAAGTGAAGTAGGGTGTTTGCTCACCTGATTGGGGGTGGGCAAGCAACAGGAATAAGGCACGGAGCAACGCTCACGGCTGGGGTTGTCCTCCGAGCAGTTGAAGTACATATTCTGAGACCAGTCTCTGTAGGAAATCCCTCCGCAGCAGCTGAACTGCAACAAGACCACAGAGAGATTAAGAATCACTGGTTCAGCCTACAGTCCACAACCCCAGAGAACCTAGACAACAAAGAGAGAAATATATGGATCCACCTAGGAAGGAGAAAAAGGCAAGATCTCCTAAATAAATTGGGAGCACAGGGGGGTAGAGTGAAAGGGGAGAGGGGAGGAAGGAAGAGGAGTGGGGAAAATATATAGCTCAATTAAAAACAATAAATCAAATAAAATTTTTTAAAAAATTAAAAATTAAAAAAAAAATCACTGATTCCCCACACTGAGGTGGCCAGTGGGGTTCATTTGTAACATCAAGTTATTCTAAACACATCTATGAACTCAAGCTTCTTGGTTGCTTTCACCTGAAGTAATTCTCTTTTTAATTCTTCATGTGTCTTATAAGTTAGTGCTTGATACTCCAACTGCATGAAGCTCACACGCACATGCGCGCACATACACACACACACACACAACTGTACATATCATTCAGGTGTAACCTCTTGAGAGAAGGTTTTGCGTTTACAACCCTATAAAACATAGCCTGACAGAAGGAGATACTTAAGTTTCTGGCTAGACTGGGGTGCGCAGTGATGGAGAATATGCTTAGACTGTGTGACCCCTGGTTCACTTCAGCACTACCAAGAAAAACTATTTAAATAAAATCCAAACTGAAAAACTTGACATTAAAAAAAAAAAATCCAAGAAGAAAATCTTCAATATCACGAGTCCACAAATACTCCAGGGAAGCAAACTGAATCCTAAAGTCAAAAGTCTGCTGGCCAGGAGAAGAGACAACCAGCAGTGGAGCTGAAAACACCTCCGTTCAAACCTCCCTTTGATTCACAGCAGCATAACGCAGAATAGCCACAAGGTGGACGCGACTCAAGTGTCCACCCGCTGCTGAACAAAATAAAGCAGTCACTCGAAGAGTATTATTTAGTCTTAAAAAAGGAAATTCTGGGGGCTGGAGAGATGGCTCTGAGGTTAAGAGCACTGACTGCTCTTCCAGAGGTCCTGAGTTCAATCCCTGACAGCCGTCTGTAATGAGATCTGGTGCCTCTTCTGATATGCATGCATACACGCAGATAGAACACTGAATAATAAATAAATAAACAAAACCTTTAAAAAATAAGGAAATTCTGGCACATGCTACAACATAGATGAAACTTGAAGCCACGCCAAGTGAAAGAAATCAGTCACTAAAGGACACGTACTGCATAATTCCACTCATATGAAGCCCCCAAAGTAGTTACATTCACAGGAAGTTCAATAGTGGTTGCCTCCATGAGAGTGAAATGGAAAATATTTAATGGGCACAGTTCAGTCACACAGACGCTATAGTGCATATGTGAAGGCCAGATGACAACTTTTGGGAGTTAGCTCTCTCCTTCCACTGCGGCTCCAGCATCAAACTCAGGTTGTCAGTCAGGTTTTTACCCTCTCAGCCATCCCACCAGCCTGAAGAGTTTCGTTTTGTTGTTGAGATGAGGGTTCCTGCAGCCAGGCTGGAGGGAACGCAGTATGTAGTCAAGTCTGGCTTTGAACTCTCAATCTTTCTGCTTTCATTGCCCTAGCACAAGGGATGGTGTGCACTGCCATACAGACAAAGAAGGGAAAGTTCTGCTAATAAATGGTAGTGATGGGTACAGACAATGTGATTTTTCCCCTCCATGCTGGAGATTGAACCTAGGGTCTCACTCATACCAGGTGCTCTACTACCGAGCCACAACCCCAGGGTCTCACAAGTTACTCAGGCTGTCCTTGAACTCACAGGACAGCCAAGGAAGACCTTGAATTCTTGATCCTACTGTTTTAGCCTCCCAAGCAGGGAGGATTACAAGTTATGTCAACATGTCCAGCTAAAGTAAATATTTTTAATACTTAAAATGGCAAATTCTGGGTTGTGGGCACAGCCCAGTGTTATAGTATTTGCCCATGATGTTCAAGGCTTTGAGTTCTACTCCTTGTTTCACAAAAACAAGAAAAACAAACAAACAAAAATGGTATTTTTGGTTGTGTATATTTGGTCACTTTTTTTTTTTTTTTTTGTTTTTCTGAGACAGGGTTTCTCTGTAGCTTTGGAGCCTGTCCTGGAACTAGCTCTTGTAGACCAGGCTGGCCTCAAACTCACAGAGATCCACCTGCCTCTGTCTCCCGAGTGCTGGGATTTAAAGGCATGCGCCACCACCGCCCCGCTCACAATTTTTAATGTAATATGTAATAAAATATATAGTTCCTCATCCCCCTACAGGAAACCCCTTACAATGATTTCTTTAAAATTCTTCCAGAATCCTTTTGCAAATAAGAACACAGAGTCTTTCCTGTCCTTTTCTTTTTTTTTTTTCAATATTTATTTATTTATTATGTATACAATATTCTGTCTGTGTGTATGCCTGAAGGCCAGAAGAGGGCACCAGACCTCTTTACAGAGGTCTGTAATGGTTGTGAGCCACCATGTGGTTGCTGGGAATTGAACTCAGGACCTTTGGAAGAGCAGGCAATGCTCTTAACCACTGAGCCATCTCTCCAGCTCCCTGTCCTTTTCTTTACATAGGCAGTAGTACATAGCAAATTATATGCACCATTATACTCTTAACAGTATCTGCTTCTCCCACAAAGTCCTTTTTAGAATATATCACTTCGCAATTAAAGAAGTCCACAGGCTTACAGAGTGAGACATTTCTTGAACAACCGTAACTTTTAGCCCCTACCCCCCAGGACACTGGATGACCACACTATGCTTGGCTGGTACCTTCTTCTGGCCAAAGTCAATGAGGTTCTGCAGGTCCAGGTCATCTCGATAATGCACAATAGCATTGTTGATTAATTCACTCACTTTCCCCCGAGCCTGCCAGAGACACAATCAGGACACAAGATTAATCCATAATTTATTAAGTCCCTCAGAAATAACAGTAAACACAGACGGGCATCTGTGGTAGTTTGAATATGCCTCCTAGTCTCAGATGTTTGAATATCAGTTCCTCGTTGGTGGTACTGTTTTGGGAGATGTGGGAGGTGTGGCTTTGTTGAAGGAAGTGTGTCACTGGGATGGGCTTTGAAGTTTAAAAGCCATGCACCATTCCCAGTGCACTCTCTTCCCTCTTTGTGGGTCAAGACGTGTCATGGCAGACTTTCCCCTCTGGATCTGTAAGCCCAATAAACTCTTCTCTAAGTTGCCTTTGTTGGGGTATCTTATCACAGCAACAGAAAAGTAATGTATATACACTGTTTTGTCTTTTTGCTCCCTTTTTCAGATTTCTCCCTGTTTTATGGTCACAGAACCATTTGTAGGGCAGAAGGGCACCCGCCATACATACATACTACAGTGTGGTCAGAGGCCCAGGGTAGCCCTTCCCAGTCTTGTGCCATGCCCCAGCAGACCAGCACAGGCTTGGCGCTCTCCCATCCCATTCTGGGTATATACTGACAGCCACTAAAGTTAGTGAAGCCAAATGACCCTAAGTCCCTACCTAAGTATCAGCTCCCATCTTTCCAGCAAGCGTAGTCGTTGTCACTGTCTCCCATTCTGGCCTCCTTTTTTATACACTGGATGCTTCTATCACATCCTGTGGGCTATTAACTCACCAGCGAGCCTCATTCTGTCACAAATGCACTTTGTACTTTACCCTTCAAAGACCTTATAAATTTAATGAGAAGCCCTGCCAGCTTTGGTGACTGAGGCCATGCTAAGCTTGCGATCCTTGTTCATGCAGGATGAAGGGGGACAGCCTGACTGCTGGAGAGATAAAACTCACGCTCTTTGCTCTTTAACACCAATGAGAAAGCCTAATTTAGGGGCCTGGGTCACTAAGCGGTATTAGTGACGAGGGGGGGGGGTCACTAATTTCTCCCCAAGAGCGGGGGCAAATCACAGACTAAAGTTCAAAATTAGGGCAGCTACCAAAGGTCACGGTCATATCCCCTCAGATCATCTTTAACCTGAATCAGCCTTGAAATCCGACCTACCAAGGGAAGACGGTTGGTTTTCCAGGCCCATACACTCTGGGGCTCAGGTGGGCAAGAGAAACATTGATCCTGACGTCATTGCTTCTCAGAACTAGCTTTCAAAATAATGCAGTGTTTGTCTGCCTCTGCGTACCAGTACCTCAAAATATCTATTGACTAGTGCCACGAAGAAATGAATTTTGTGTTGATTTTAGGAGAGCTTACTGTGCAGAGACACTGACCCCTAGTGGACACAAGAAAACTGCATCTCCTTAGACCTGATGCATCTACTTTATTAAGGGAAAAGGAAACGCTACAGATCAGCTCAGGACCGCTCAGTTTCACAATTTACCGCTCAGTTTCACAATTTCGTATCATGGTCTCTTTCTGCTCAACTACTTTTCCTACGGATTTTGTGTATTTGTGTGTTGAGACAGGGCTTCTCTGTGTACCCCTGGATGTCCTAGAACTCACTGTAGACCAGGCTGGCCTGGAACTCAGAGATCCACCTGGGATTAAGGGCATGGGCCACCACTCCTGGCTTCTTTTCCTGTGATTTTATCTTACAGCTTTGTATTTTATTCCTGCTGACTATCTGTCAGTTGAGAATGGAATTCTGGTTCTCCCCACCCCCAGTCACCCAGGTTTCTGAGACAGGTTCTCATTAGGTAGCTCAGGCTGTCCCGGCATGCACTACACAGACCAGGTTATCCTCAAACTCACAGTCATCCACCTGCCTCTGCCTCCTGAGCGCTGGGACTAAAGGTGTGCACTACCACACCTGGCTACTTTTTTTTTTTCTTCCTTTATCTTAAAAGACAGATTTCTCACTATGTAGCCCCAGCTAGCCTGGAACTCACTAAACAGGCAATGCTGATCTCAAACTCATGGAGATCCCCCTGCTTCTGGCTTCCCAGTGATAGGACTAAAGGAAAGGCTGGTTCTTAATTAGGCCTGTTGCCTCAGGACAGCCCCCCTCCAAATGTGGGAAACGGGGTTCCCTCCACCTACACATCTAGTTCAATAAACAGCTCTTGATTAAGAGTCTCTTCTAGTGCCAGGACAGGCTCCAAAGCCACAGAGAAACCCTGTCTCGAAAAAAAAAAAGTCTCTTCAAGTCTGCAGTCCTGATGGCAGTTCTACTCGGTCATTTACCATTCACGTTTGCAGGTTATTTTAATGTCTCTCAAGGTCATAGAATTTTCTTCTCTAATGGCATCTCGGATTGTCAAAGGAAAATGCCTTACTATCATGAGATTCTCTTTAAAGAGGTTGGTGTTAAAGGCCATTTATTCATCCCTAAGGGAACCTTTCAAAGGCTGGTACTTCCCAGGGGAGAAAGTGCTGTGGCTAATTAGTCAGGAGTAGGAACTTCCCCTTCCTCCCTCTGGTACTGAGGAGGCCTCTAGGCTCCCAGGGTTACCTTGTCTGAGAAGACGAAGCCCAGGATGCCGGCAGCCAGCTGCAGCAGGAACACGATGGTGAGGCAGAGGGAGAACTGTGGCACACAGGCAAGACAAGAGACAGTCGTCACTGCTCAGGGAAACAGCCCTTTCCAGGGCCAAGCAGAGTACTGAGAGGCAGCTAAGCTCTTCTCCACCCCCCACCCCCCTCCAGCATGGCAAAGGCTACTGCCTCCAGGACAATGATGCAGAGGTGGCCACCCTGTGCTGGGTCACCCAGAGCACTCTGCTACCTTAGAAGGTAGCACGCGACAGAACTGTGGTTCAGAAGGCACAGGGAGAGGAAAGCGAGGCCCTTCTATGGAGCCTTTGCGCACTCACCGTCTGCAGAAGGCAGATGTTCTCGCGAAGGGATCCAATACAGCCACAGAAGGTGAGGAGGAACATAAGGACACCCACCACGATCAGCAGGATGGCGGGGTCCACCGCCAGACAAGCCAAGGCTGCTTCTGGGAGAGAGGCTGACCCTCAGCTGGAGCCCAGTGCCCTCGGAGGGGGCTCCCAGGAATGGATGTAATGGGAGGGGTGTACCCACACTGTTCTTCCTGCACTAGGGGAGTCTCCTTGCCTGGTGATGATTATGAGAAAGCAAGACCTTCCCCAGGAAGAACAGAAAGCGTGTAGAGAAGTCCTGGCGTGTAACTGCAGGAACTGGGGAGCAGGCTCATGGTGGGACGGTGGGGAGCGGGGTGGGGACGCACTGCTGCTCCAGGGATGAATTAGAATGACTCTGGGCTCATGCCTGGGTGGATTCCTAGAGACTCTGCAGAGGAATCCAGCTTGAGTCACTTCAGGGTAAACTAGCTAGGGAGGGCAAAGTCCTTGACTGCTCTCTGCTTCCACAGGCTCAGCTTCTCTCCAGGACTTAGGCTCACGGGTAGGTAGATCTTGGGAGAGGGACGGGGGCTCAGGAACGCCCAAGTGAACCCAGGGCCAGGGCAGAAGCAAACAAGGGCACAGTGAGAGTGTGAGAGGCAGAGGGGGACCTGGAACCCACCTGCGTGCTTCATCAGCCTGGCATAGACACCCACAGCCACCATGACCATGGAAATGACCTGTGGGAAGAGGCAAGGAGTCAGATTGAGACTGGGATTGAGAGAGCTCTGGACACAATGAAAATCCTGCTAGGAGGGCAGGGAGGACAGCTCTCCCGGGGTCCGGGTGCAACATCCCTACCTGCCTGCCCCCAGTGACAATGCGAATGCCGCTTTACCTCCGTGAAAAATCCCCAGTACCGGCTCCTTCATTCTCTGTGACACCACTATCTCCTGAGACAGAGTGTCCCCATTTCACAGGTGCAGAAATTAAGATAGTACAAGTTTCATATAGAATGGAACAGTGATCAGAAACACAGGCTTCCAGACAGGCTTGGGGGTATAACTCAGCACAAGGCCTGGGTTCAGTCACAAGCATCAGAACTTCACACACATGCATGCGTGTGCACATGTGCATGCACGTGTGCACGCACACACACACGCAACTGAAACAAAGCATGTCCTTCTGAGAGATTCAGATATTTAACCCTATTTAGGACAAATTTCTGAGTCTCAGTTGATTCCTGCATGTGAAGCTGGAATTAAGGACAAAGAGCCAGGTGTGATGGTTTATGATAGTCAATCTCAGCATTTAGGAGGTTGAAATGGAGGATTAAGAGTTCGAGGTCAGCCTGTGTTCCAGTGCAAGAGCCTGCCTCAAAGGAAAAAATATTTTATTTTTATTTGTGTCTGTGTGGATACGCACTGAAGCCAGAAGATGGCGTAGGTGATCCTTGGATCCCTCGGCACTAGAATTACAGGTGTCTGTGAAATGCTTAGTGTGGGTGTCCTCTGAGTTACAGCAATCAGCATTCTTAACCACCGAGCCATCGCTCTAGCCAAAACTTTAAAAATGAATATTCATATTTCTCTTTTTTTGTTTCTTCTCTCACCACCCCCAGGAAAGGTTTCTTGGTGTAGCCCTGGCTGTAATGGTGCTTGTTCTGTAGACCAGTCTGTCCTCAGACTTAGAGATCTGTCCGCCTGCCTCCCAAGTGCTGGGATTAAAGGTATGAGCCACTATGCCCAATTGAACTTGTATTTCTTATATCTTAAAAAATGTTTTAGGGGCTGGAGAAATATCTCAGTGGTTAAGAGCACTTGCTCTTGCAGAGGACCTGGGTTAAGTTCCCAGCACCCACACAGCGGCTCATAAACACCTGTAACCCCAGTTTCAGGCAATCTGGTCCCTTTCTCTGGCTTCTGAGGGCAACTTTCATACATGCAGGCAAAATGCTCATACACATAAATAAAAATAAGCTAATTTTAATGGTTGATTCATTTCTTCACTTGCGTATGTATGGGCTCATGCCACACCGTACACACGGTCAGAAGACAGCCTGCAGGAGCTGATTCTTTCCTTCCAGGGAACAAACTCGGGTTGTCAGGCTTGGCACTGAGCTATACCCGCTGACTCATGACGCCAGTCCAGAAAAAAAAATATTTTTGTAAGAGTTAAATAAAATAATGTTTGGAAAGCACCTAACACAATTTCCGACATTAAACATTCATCACCAGTGTGATCACACAGGGATTGTGCGATTCTGAATTCTAACCCACCTGCATCAAAAGGCAGGGCTTCCAGGCAGAGAGATGTGGGCTCTAGCTCTCCAACTCCCTTGGAAGCCAAGGATAAAATGCACACGGACACAAAAGGCAGGAGTGTGTGTGATTCCTGGGCACTACCATGGAAAGGAACCACTATAGACTCCGGTGCCAGTGCGGAAGAATACAACCTAGGCCTGCCAAATGTCATGCTCCTCCCTGTGAGAGCAAACCCATTAAAGGTCCCCAGAGGCTTTTAATCCCTGGACCTCCAAGAGCTCTCGGTAGCCCCAGCTCCCTGCTCAGCTTCAAGCCCGGTTTCCAGGCTGGTGCTAAGCAGCAGCTGACTGTCACCATGGCAATAGATGAGGCCAAGCTCTGGCAGAGAGAGTTCTTAGTAGCAGGGACTTGACCAACTCAGTAAGGAAGGGCACGGCAGTTAGACCCCCACATTCTGCAAGACAAGAATCAGCTGGAAAGGGCCATTTGGAGGGGTCTTCCATGAAAGAAGGGAGCTGGGCCCCAGGACAGGTAATAGGGTCAAACTAGTCCTCTGTGAAAAAGGTACGTTTTCATGTGGCACTTATTTCTGAAAATTCTTTATTATTTAGTGAGTTAATGGCTAATCCTGGATTAAAAATAACTCCCTGGAACGCCTTTTTTGTGAATCCACAGCCCTTTCTCCTTGCTCCTTCATCTGGCCCTTCCTCTGACTCATGCTCAGCATTATCAACTGGCCTCCAAATTTGTGTTTGTGCATCCACAACCCTGTCTACACACACACACACACACACAACACCGAAACCTGGCCCTTCCTTACTTTGCTCCATATATTATCAGCCTTCATATTCTGCCCAGAACAAACAGGACAGCTTAGAGAGCCGAATGTGGGGCTGGAGGTGCCAGCTGACTCTTCCTATAGCATGGCCAGGCGCGGTAGGAAAACCTTAGGTCAGTCACCTCCAGGTATGGAAGGGCCCTTTGACAGTACGAGTAAATGTCTCTGCCCCTTAAAACTTACCACACCTGGGCCGGTAGATGGCTCAACAGGCAGACACTTGCTGTGCCGTACCTGGAACCTACTCCACAAAACCATCCCCTGCCCTACACACACACACACACACACACACACACACACACACACACACACACACGTCTTTAGTTAGGGTTTCTATTGCTGGGACAAAATATGATGGCCAAAGAGCAAGAAAGGGTTTATTAGGCTTCCACTTCAGCCTTGTTGCTCATCACTGAAGGAAGTCAGGACAGGTAACTCAAAACAGGGCAGGATCTGGAGGCAGGAGATGATGCAGAGGCCATGGAGGGGAGCTGCTTACTGTCTTTCTTCCCCTGGCCCTCTCAGCTCACCTTCTTATAGAACCCAGGACCACCCGCCCAGGGATGGCGCCACCCATCATGGGTTGGGTCCTCAATGGTCACTAAATGGGAAAACACCTTCCAGCGGGTCATTTCCTCAGCTGAGGCCCCCTTTCTCTAATGACTCTAGCTTGTGTTAAGTTGCCACACACACAGCTAGCCAGTACAGCATGCAATTCTCTTATAACTGCAGTTCTGAGTACCATTTTACTATGGACTGAATTAAAAACAAATTATCTATTCCATGTTTCTGTTGCTCCCAGTCTCCTTGCATGCTAAAATGTTCTAGACTGGATAACTTTGTACAAGGATCAAATCAGCAGGCATGATGGTGCACAGCTCTAATCCCAGTGCTCTGGAGGGAGAACCGGGAGACTCAGAAGTTCAAGGCCAGCCTTGACTATGCTGTAATTTGGAAGCCAGAAGAGGCTAGATGAGACCTTATTTCAACAAGAGAGAGGGGAGAGGAGGAACAAAAGAAAAAGAAGGAGGGAGAGAGGCAACATATCATAGGGCAACTTAATTCTCTCCATGGGCCTATAATTGCAACAGTAGCTCTGTCTACTAGAGTAAGTAGAATAGCATCCCCCAAAGACAATAATGTCCTAATTCTACGAATCTATGAATATATTATCTTACATGGCCAAAGAGACATTTTGCAAATGTGATTTAAGATTTAGAGATCCCAGGGATCACAAGCAGACCTTATCAGAAGGAAGGAAGAGGGTCAGGTTCAGAGAGAGAGGTAGAGCAGTGGAGGAACCATGGACCGCATCGCTCCAACCATGGATGCGGTGCCATGGATGTAGGCAGCCTCGGATGCTGGAGCAGGAAGCACAGGAAGGAGCATGGCACTGCTGACACTTGATGACAGCCCAGGAAGCTGGTTTTGGATTTTGGACCTCTAGAAACGTGAGAGATCAAATCTGTGTTATTTTAACCATTAAGTTTGGGGAGACAGGATGCAATACACTGTTTAAATCCAACCAATCAGCTGCTAGTATAAGGTACTGTGAGGACCTACAATCTTTGTGTTAACCTGGAGAGAAAACAAGAGCATTTATAACTTAGAGCGATGGCTCTCAACTCCACCTGCCATAGAGTTACCTGGGCACCTGGGAGTGGAGGAGGTACCTCAACTCTTAATGCCCCGACTGCAAATAGTTTACAATCTCTGGCAAGGAAGCCCAGGCAAGCATAGTTCTGGAAGCGTTCCAGGTGATCACACAGGGCAGCCAGCTTGAGGACTTTGAAGTCTAAAGTGCAGCCAACCAGGAATGTAAAGTTGGAGCTAGGTTACGTTAAAATCAAGACTGAGGCTTGACTATTATTAGTAGCTCACGTGATCACTAAGGATGCCCTTCCTCGGAGCTCTCCAGACCTGCATCTCACCGCTTTATCTCCCACACTTCTGTTCTTGTCCTCACTTCCCTCCCCGGATCCCTCAAAGCTGCTGTCATGGCAAGGTGAGTGTTGCTGATATTAACAGCATCAAATTTCAAAGCTGAACAGAACTTCAGAACCGGATCCTTACACTCACCCCTAAATACAGAGGAAGCTAACAAGCAGAAGGGACATTTGGTCAAGTGTATACGGATGCTGCGGCAACGTCTGAACCCAGTGCAATTTCCTACCTCATTCTAGTAATCTTTCTAGGGTATCAGTCTTTGCTACAAAATCTCCATAATAATGACTTCCTTTCACAAGGACAGAGATAAAGTCACTGCTCTTCTCAGAGTGGGTTTTCAGAGAATGGACAGAATGAAGCCTGGTTAGAAACTTTTAAAAGCTAGGTACCATTTTCAAAATAGCTGAGTCTAGCTTTTACGCAAATTTATATTCCTGAAAAGCTGCCAGTCAAATGATATAAAATAATTTGTATGCACCAATGAGTACACACACATATATACAATGTGCACAGTGAGTTATCACCTTGGAATGAAAATGGTCATCTCCTGGGCTTCAGTGAGGAAAGGTTAGGACCAGAGCAGAAATGTATTACGAAGAACATGGAACAGGTTGGGGCAGAAAGTAAGAAAGTATTCAGCCATAAAACTGGGGCAGGGGAGATGGCTCAGTGGGTAAGAGGATTTGTCATG